GTCCTGTGTGGTCACTGTGTGGTCTGAGTGTCCCACGTGGTCACCGTGTGGTCTGAGTGTCCTGTGTGGGGTCACTGTGTGGTCTGAGTGTCCTGCGTGGTCACCGTGTGGTCTGAGTGTCCTGTGTGTGGTCACCATATGTTCTGAGTGTCCTGTGTGGTCACTGTGTGGTCTGAGTGTCCTGTGTGGGGTCACCGTGTGGTCTGAGTGTCCTGTGTGGGGTCACTGTGTGGTCTGAGTGTGCCGCGTGGTCACCGTGCGGTCTGAGTGTGCCGCGTGGTCACCGTGTGGTCTGAGTGTCCCGCGTGGTCACCGTGTGGTCTGAGTGTCCCGCGTGGTCACCGTGTGGTCTGAGTGTGCCGCGAGGTCACTGTGATGTGTGTCCAGGTGGCAGTCATGTTTGACCTCGGAAGGATGATGACCACGCAGAGCAGGTGGGGCTGCTGGACAGGAACGACGAGAACAAACGGGGCAGGAAGAGTCTGTCTGACCTCCAGCAATCAGCCTGTGGGTCCTGACTGTAACCCCAGTTGGGGAGCTTCCACAGACCTCACTCAGGTGCCCACACCTCAACTTGTAGCACTGAATCTACACCGCCAGCCCTACGCCTGGGGCCTGGCGCCCATGGTCCCACGTCTACACCACCTGCTGCACCCGCTGCACCGTGTATACACCACCCTGGGCGCACGCTGTCCGGCGTCTACACCACCCGCCCTGTGCCCACTGCCCTGTTCCTGAGACTATGCACCTACACTACTCACTGTGCCCGCAGCCCCTCATCTCCAGCACCCTCTGTGCCCCCACTGCCCCCCGAGGTGGCATGCTCAGCCATCCCACGCTGTGTGGGCACCTACCCGGAGCGGGAAGTTGAGTGGCCGGCGGTAGGGCTGGAAGCCCACGGGCCCCCCCTGCTGCAGGATGGCTTGGTGGGCGGCGTGCAGCCCCTCACCCACCACCGGGATGGCGTTGTTGTTGCGTGCATGCTGATTGTTGTTCACCTGGTGGGCACTGCTGTCACTCTCCTCCTGGTCACCCAGTAAGTAGGAGTGAAGGTCCCTGAGGGAGAGCACAGGACAGCCTAGCTCGGGTGGAGGTCAGGGTGCTGGAGTCGAGCCCAGGGACAATGCATGGGGAGGCTACTGCTGGGCCAGACCACACAAGGGCCTCACCCTATGCAGGGCCATGGCGTCTGCTGTCAAGTACATTTAGTTGAGGACAGTCTCAGAGAGGTCATGTGTGTCAGCTGACCTCACACACTGAGGGTCAGGACAAGTCCACGTGGGTCACGTCTGTCAGCTGACCTCACACACTGACGGTCAGGACAGCCCCACGTGGGTCACGTCTGTCAGCTGACCTCTCACACTGAGGGTCAGGACAAGCCCATGTGGGTCACGTCTGTCAGCTGACCTCTCACACTGAGGGTCAGGACAGCCCCATGGGGGGGCCTGGCTGTGGACAGTTTTCCAGCTGTCCATCCGGGCGAGGTGCTGTGCTCTGCTCTGGTCATCAGCAGGTCCAGCTTCCTCACATGAGCTGTACACACCAGGGCAGCCCATCCACATGGCACTGGGCGTGGAGGTCTTCGTGGGCCCCTGTCCCCTATGCCGTCAGGCAGCGGGGACTGGACCTGACCCTGACACGTGGAGGGCGGATGTCCTGACAGTCTCAGCCTGTACAATGGTGGGCCTGTCCTGAGGCTGCCTGTCCAGGTGACCTGCTGACAGCCCCAGGCCTGGCATGGTGCTGGTGAGGTAGGGGCGTTAGAAGAATCCCCTGACCTCTCCTCAGCCAAGGTGGCCCGAGCAGCTCGGGACAGCTGTGCATGGTGATCAGGTCAATGAGGGGCTTGGCTCTGGGGGCAGCACGGACAGAGCTGAGAAGACCCTGTATAGCAGGGACGAGGGGGCGGACAAAGCAGTGGATGAGGCAACTCAGAGTGCATGCGGGGAGTGCAGAGAGTACAGTGGACACTGCTGGGCTGTCCAGTGAGGTGTGTACAGTGGACACTGCTGGGCTGTCCTGATGCAAGGGGACATGAACACTGCTGGGCTGTCCGTGTGTCTGTTCCACCGGTCCTGCCGGCTGCATACTTACAGGGAGTGTCCAGCGGCAACTGTCCAGGCCCGCACCAGCCCTTTCAGCCACTGGCGGGTGTGGCCCTGCTCCAGCAGCGCCGGCAGGATCACCTGCAGCAGCAGCAGCTCCAGGGACAGTTCACTGACCGGGGCATCACTGCAAGAACAAGTGTCAGCTGAGGGCCACCAGACCACATGCTGGCCCTCAACCTGACCCCACCGCCCGCTGGCTGGCGTCTCCCCCACCATGTGCCGTGATGCCCCCAGGGGACAGGCCGTGCCCCACACAGCAGCACGCACCTGTACAGCATAACATTGTAGGGCAGGAAGCTGGGCAGCAGGCTCTTGATGATCCGGATGGGTAGCCAGAGCATCAGAAGGACGATGGAGCCAAAGACAATCTGTGTGTGTGGAGGACGTGAGAGG